TTTTTTATGTGATGTGATGTAAAGGTCAAACTTCATTTTTTGGCAAACGGTTATCAGTTTTTCCAGTACCATTTGTTGAAAAGAATGTCCTTTTCCACATTGAATGGTCTTGAAACCCTTGCTGAAAACAAACTAACCATGTTTTTAAAATGTATTAATAGAATGTGAGAGTTTATTTTTAGACTCTCAATTCTATTCCATTGATAAGTGTGTTTGTCTGTGTGTATGTGTGTTTGTCTGTATATGTGTTTGTGTCTATTCTTATGCCAGTTCCATACTGTCTTGATTACTGTAGCTTTGTAGCAAGTTTTGAAACTGGAAATTGTGAGCCTTACAGCTTTGTTCTTGCTCAAGATTTTTTTGGCTATTTTGGGTCCCGTACATTTCTATACAAATTTTAGGATTAGCTTGTCAATTTCCACAAAGAAAAGGGAGCTTGAATTTGGATAGGGATTGACTTAAATCTGCAGATCAATTGGAAGAGTACTGCCATCTTACGAAAGTCTTCTGATCCATGAACATGGGATATCTTTTCATTATTTAGGTCTTTACTTTTTTAACTATGTTTTTTGGGTTTTCAATGTACAAGTCTTGCACTTCTTTTGTTAAGTTTATTCCCAAGTATTATATTTTTTTATGATATTGTAAATGGAATTATGTTTATAATCTCATTTTTGGATTGTTTTTGCTGGTGTATAGAAATACAATGGCTTTTTAAATATTGATCTTGTATCATGCAATCTTGCTGAACTTATGTATTAACTTTAGTTGTTTTTTGGTAGACTTCTTAGGATTTTCTATGTACAAAATCATGTCATCTGGGAATAGAGATACTTTTATTTCTTCTTTTCCAGAGTGGATGCCTTTTATTTACTTCTCAGTCTGATTGCCCTGTGCAGAACTTCCAAGACAATATTGAATAGAGGTGGTAAGAGCAGACATCCTTGTCTTGCTCCTGACCTTTGAGGGTAGGCTTTCAGTCTTTTACCACTAAATATAATATTAGCTGTGGGGTTTTTTTAGATTCCTTTTTTCAGTTTGGAGAAATTCCTCTTTATTCCTAGTTTGATAAGTGTATTTCTCATGAAAGGATAATGGATTTTTCCAATGATTTTTCTGCATCTTCAATAAAGTGAATATTTATGTTCCCCTAAAATTCATATGTTGAAACCTGATCCCCAAGGTGATGGTATTGGGAGGTGAGGACTTTGGGAATGTTATTAGGTCATGAGAGTGGAGCCCTCATGAATGAGATTACTGCCGTTATAAAAGAGGGCCCAAGAGAGACCCCTGCCCCTTCCATCATGTACAGGCACAGCAAGAAAGCACTATCTATGAACCAAGAAAACGGGCCTTCACCAGACA